AAACAAGGGGGAGAAATGAATTACAGTAGAKGGGGTAGAGARAGAAGATGGGAGGGGAGGRGATGGGGGATAGTAGAGGATAGGAAAGGCAGCAGAATACAACAGACRCTAGTATRGCAATATGTAAAACAGTGGATGTGTAACCGATGTGATGCTGCAATCTGTATACGGGGTAAAAATGGGAGTTCATAACCCACTTGAATCAAAGTGTGAAATATGACTTATCAAGAACTATGTAATGTTTTGAACAACCAACAATAAAAATTTTTAAAAAAGACATAATGAAATGAAAAACTGTTTAGCTCAGAGATTAGTCTTCAGTGATATGTCAAGTGCATTGTTGATCTAATTCAGCACAATTACTACTGACTTGAATAAAGATACAGAAAACCTTGTTATCAAATTTGTAGATATCTAAAAGGATTCATTGGCTAACATATGATTTTTTAAAAATGTTAACAGGTAGGATCCAATATCAAATTTAACAAATTGACATTTAATAGGATAAATGTAAAATTCTGAAGTTTAATAAGAGATATAGCTTAATAGCCACTAAAGCATATTCTGAGTAAAATCATATGCTTTATTTTTTTTCTCCAGACAACAGAGCTATTTAAAAATGAGCAAAATTATGAGGAAAAAAGATCATTATAACAACTATATTTTAGACTATAGTTTGGGATACTATATTCCATTTATTACAAGTGAAAAAAAAATTTAACACTAGACAATCAGACTTGGAAGAGACTAAAGGTATTCTAAATTTTATCTTCTGTTAGAATGTACATAGATTATGCAAATATATATTTATGCAATACATATGTACGTATATGTATATTGCAAATACATACATATACATACATATATTCATATATAAGTATATATCATGTATATATATAATATAAATATGTGTGTGTGTGTGCACGCACGCGCTTGAGTACATTTGTTTACATGAAAATAAGCTTGGAGGTACAAAGAATTTTATGAATTTTTCATGATTAGTGGCAGAATAATAATAACCCAACCCTAGGCTTCTTGCTCTCTATTTTACCATTCTCCTTGTGTGCTGATTATTTCATTAGTAGGAAAAAAATAGCACGCATATACTTTATTTTTTATTTTATGTATTTTCACGTGTATGTGCTGTTTATAGAAACAAAATAAAACAAAAATGTAAATTTAGATCAGGAAGCATAACTTTAAATTTTTTAAGCCACAAAAGCCCATGGAAAAATGGAATAGAGTATATTCTCCAAAAGCTGATCAGTAATACATATTTTTTAATTAATTATAAAAAAAATAGACCCTAAGGGTGAAGAAAGGTCTTTAAGAGACTTGAATATTCTGGTTAGCCTTTCAGCTTTAAACACTTGAGTAATTTTTTTTCTCAACTCAGTAACTTTCTCATTGTCAAAGTTTTTTTTCTTTATTTCATAGACAAATATCACCATGACAATATTTGACTCTACCTTTAATTTTTACTTTAATTACACAATCTCTTTAAATATTACCAATATCTCCATATGTTAGTCCTTGAAAATGACTCCAAAGGATCTATTTTTATACTTTTATCTATGAGGAGGTAATTATAATTGTTATTATATTAAATTACAAATTCTTTTTCATTCTGTAGTTATATTTTATCAAGTTACCATATGTYTTCAGATAGTTTATTTTTAATTCTACCCAAGAACTTAAATTCTATGTCTGTTATGTTCACTACCATATTCTTATGCTAAGAACTATTGTAGACATATGCTAAGTATTCTAAAAGAATCTGTTAAATAGAGGTAAAGTTAAAAATGTTCATACATTGAAATAAATTTCAAGATGGTAATTATAGTTTTTCTTCACTTTTAATCTTTTGTATAATTTTATCATTTTAGTTTTTTATAAACTTTTATCATCTTTTAACTTGATTCTCATCCTAATTGAAAGTTTTTTACCTAATTCATGTTCATTTCCAAAATTCACAGATATTAAAGATATATTCTCATATATTAGCATACATTGCATTTAGAGTGTGTGTGTAGGTGCAAAGTAAATATATGAAAAAATTGATAAGGATGGGCTAAAAATGAGTGATTTAGTCCTTCCATTGTCTTTATTCTTTTTATTGCATCATCATATGGTTTGTTTGCTCATGAATTTTGCAAATACTAATGTAAAAGATACCAGTAAATCTGTTGTTTCTCAGTGCTATGAGGAATTTAGGTACAAACTCAGGATTACAAAATTTTTGCTATGTATATAACACATAGGCAGAAGTTGACCCAACTGTAGTACCTACCTATAAAATACTCCGGTTCTAAGAAGAGGAAAAAAATTCAGTTCAATGATAATAAAGGTACATATGTGCAAGAGATGGTGTTAGAAAAAATGCTTCATGATTATAATGAACAGAATTTTTCAAGATTAATAAGTTTTAAAAATATATAAATGTAATATGAATATAACTTATAAAATGAGGGTCCTTTTTTATTATTCTTGTGAAGGCTGTTTTTATTCTCTTAAAATCTGCCCATTATGTATCTGCCCAAATTGCATGCTTCTCATCTTACACTGTTGTAAACTGTCATTTTTTTCACGTGCATACTGTGTGTTCATTAACAAGTTTATAAGATTTCTCATGGCAAGACATGGGTCTTCCTACCTCCAAACCAGTTTTTATACAGCATATGACATTTACCCACTAACTTACCAAATGTTTGCTGTGGTGTTACTATGTACCAAGTACGAGGAATAAAGTACTAAACAAAGTCCCAACTATCAAAGGAATACATTCCTGCGAGGCAAGGGAACTTATAATTACCTAATGTGTTTGATAGTGATATGTGCTATAGAGAAAAATAAAATTTGCTAAGGGAATAATTTTTCTAGGATATTCATGTAAATTTTCTGTAAGATGGGTATATTTGAGCCAAGATATATCTGTGTAGATATCTAGGAAAAGAACATTCCAGAGAGAAAGAAAAAAATGTAGGCAAAATACAGGGTGAGGAGGATTTGTTTTGCCTAAGGACCAGGATGGTCTGTATTTCTAGAGATGGATGAGTAGAGGGATATCAAGTAGAAGAGGTCCAGAGGATGTGGGAAGATCATGGGAGGAGCTCAAACTTTACCTTGGATGAGACGGGGAAATTATTAAATTTGGAATGGAGGAGTAAAAAATATCTTTTAAAATGTGTAATCATAGCTCCTAAGTGGAGAAAATATTCATGGGAAAGGAAGTACAGGAGCAAAAACACACACTGGGCAGGTGAGGTAGGAGGCTATTGCAAGACTTTGGACCAGAGTAAATGGTGGTTTGGATTTTGATAATAGAACTAGAGGAGGTGAGAGGTGGTTAGATGATGATTACATTTTGAAAGAAGAATAAAAGGGACCAAAAATTGCTGAAAATGAATGAAATATGAAAATATTTAGTGATGAATTGGATATGGAATATGAGGAAAACATGATCAGAAAATCCTGAGGTTTTTAGCTCAAGAAACAAAGAATGGAGTTGCTATCCATTATATCACTAATACAAAGGCAGTTACCATGGTAAAATACTCCAAGAGAATCATGTTCCAGCTAGAAAATCCAGAATTTGTCATTTGTATGTTCTATTTTCTACACACAAGTAGAGAAACAAAATAAGAAGTAGGATATATGGGTTTAATATTTTGGAAATTTTTTATTCAATATACAATGCTTACTATTTATGAAAAATAATGCTTATTTTTGTTGATTGTCTATTTCAATAATGAAATCACATTTTCTGATACTTTTGGCAAAAAGGAAATATCAAAAAATCTTTGCTTTTGGGGTACAATTTTTGGGGGCCTGAYATTTCTGCTGAGATTCAAAGGATTTTCTATCTGACCTAACCATTGTTGAAAAAGGAGGTATTTGAAATCTTTCAGCAAACAAATTGAGGATTCAGATGATATTTCATTTGAAACTGAATTCCAAAACTTATTGATGAATTGCTTTATTATACTAATTGCATTTTCTTTATTTCCATAGTCTGTCACGGTGCCAGAGATAAATTTTATTGGTCTTAAAGGATTTGTTCTTCAAATGGTCATGTAGGTCACAACAAGAAAACTTACTTAGTTGGTGGCAAATTTATTATTTAATGATACGTCCCCAGTGTCTTTCTGGTGACTAAATTTAAAATCATTGGTCTATAATTACTATCCTTTATGCAAATGCATGCACATGTAATATATTTCATTTACAGTCTTTAGACACATTTTTCATTCAAATATACAAAAGCACTGTTATTTAAAGACTCTTGATAGCATAGAGCAATTCTTCAAATATCCTTAAGCCCATTTGTATAATGAGAGTTTGAATATGAGGTGTTTGTAGTTGACATTTGGGAAGCTACTTAGTACCTCAGAAGGAATAACTGAATGATAAGGCTTTATACATTTTGAGTGACATTATGCTTAAAATACCCTTGATAACAGTTTAAATGCTTTTTTCTTCTATTGTCTCTCCTTTGAGACATTGTTGATTTTACTATGTCAGTAATGTTCTTTTTTATATTTAGCGGATTCAGACACAGATATGATTGTGAAGAGAAAAATTATGGTCCAAAATAACATGGTTTGATATCGCACTTGAAAATTCATGGGGGATAAGGACTTACTGTTTTAAAATGAATAGGAAAGCAAATGATAAAGAATGTGATAGGTCATTTCCCCAAATATTTCAGACAGTACTTGAAAAGATCTTTTGGCTAAAATATATCTTCTTTCATATTATTTTCATACTTTCCTTCCTATATAATTTTGTATCCTGAAGAATACTTATATTCTAGCATACCCAGGATGATAACCATAAAGATACTAATGCTATAGGGTCCTAATGCATATATTGCTACACATCTTATAGTGTGTGGGTGTATGTTTTCTCTGTCTTATTATAGGAAATGATACCATCTATTGGACAGACATGGGCTTTAATAAAATCAGCCGAGCTAAAAGAGATCAGACTTGGAAAGAAGATATCATTACCAATGGCTTGGGAAGAGTGGAAGGAATAGCTGTTGACTGGATTGCTGGTATAATCTAAGACTTTTTTTTCTTTTAGTTTCATACTTGTTTTGTTAGGGTCTCAATCTGCTTCATAAAAATTGTGTTTCTGACTCCTAACACTTTCTTTTACACTTATAGCCATGGGGGTAAATAGTCTCTTTTGCTCTTGGTTCCACTCTTTCTAATGCTATAGAGCCTTTGACTAAGCGTTTTTCATGTTGAAGGAGATTATATAGTATGCATTTTAACCAAATCTCCTGAGAGCTCTGTAAAGCAGGTAAATGAAAATGTTAGTTCCTTTTTGCCTGAAGTCAGTATGAAGTTTAAATAGATTCCTTTGATGGGTGGGGAAATTTTCACCATTTAAAACATATAAATAGATCATTATATGGTTTAGTCAGAGACATATGAAATTAGGATTGGGAGTTTTAACAGCTTTCTTTTTAGAAAGTAATGATTAAAGAGTAGAAACTTAATGTCTTAATAGTTATGTGAATGTTCAGAAATTTAATTTTAGCCATACTAATAAATAATTTCCTATCTCACACTGTATTATGAACTATATTCTGTATTTCTCGCAGGTAACATCTATTGGACAGATCATGGTTTTAACTTAATTGAAGTTGCAAGACTCAATGGCTCTTTCCGTTATGTAATTATTTCCCAAGGCCTGGATCAACCAAGATCTATAGCTGTGCACCCAGAGAAAGGGTAATTTTAAAATTTATATTTATCTTCTGAATCTTAAGCGGGCTTTCTTGTTTTATTAGGAAAAACAAAACAGAAAATTATATTAATATTTAGTTTTAACTATTTATAATATCTGAAACAAACTAAAAATATCTTAAGGAGAAAATGAAATTTATTTTTAGTTTGCTTATGCATATTTTAGTACATATTTGATAAAGTCATTTGCTATGTGGTTATTTTATATGTGTTCATCCAAATAAGAACAACAACATATTTCTAGGTTCTCAATTTAGAGTTCTGACCTAGAACTGTTTTAATAATTAGATATTCAATTATTTATTGAATGAGTGAAATAATAATTTAACAAACAACCTACTGAAGTTCCAGTATCTGTTTATGTGCCTGTTATCAAACTAACATTTTAATCCAAGCTTTTTTGGTTTCATTTATTATTTCTTTCCTTTTTTTTTTTTTTTTGGTTTTTACTTATTTTATTTTGAGTTGTAGATAAGTATATCTACCTGTCCATTTGGAAAATTCGTGGAACCCAAACTTTACATAGACATACACACATATAAAATTGAAGTGCACTCAATCTACCACCACATTTCACTGTTTTTTTAAATTACCTTCTAAATAATTCTACTTTCAATCTACTACCCTATATCTTTACTCCTTCCACCCTGTTTGAATCTGTTGTTACCTTAAGTATGTGCAATAAGTTCCCATTTGGTCTCCAAATCTCAATTAAAGCTAGAGTAATTTTTTTTAACATGTAAATCTTACCTAAGTCCTTTCAAAGTCCAAAAGCTCTATTTGATCCTAACCAGCTCTCCTGTGCAAAATTTTCATCTCAAACACCTGCTATTGCATTTTTACATTCTTAATTCATCAGTGTTGGACTTTGGTTAAATTTTCAAATATTTCTTAATCTCCTTCGTTTCTAGGCTTTATACATCCTCTTCCATTTACTCACAGTGCTCTTCCTATTACTAATTTGCAAAACACTTTTACCATTCTGTGGCTTTGAAAATAGATTGTTCTATGACCCCACAGCACCTACAACTTTTATGTATGCAAGTTCTGTGCACTAATATTTGCTTATTTATTTATATTTATTTGCCTGGTAGCTGTATATTCCACTCTGCTGGGAAATGTTCCTTTTATTCATTATACTTAAATTCTTGGAGAAGAGCCATGTGCATTTGATATATTTCTTGATCCTCAGGGCTAAGTATAGTGACTATTAAAGAATAAGAAGCTTATGATAACAGCTTTCCTCTTAAATAACAATGTAAGGTTTTTCCCCATTTTAAAACCCCATATTACTCCCCAAAATGTGTTTCTTGCATCCTTAGTATGGAATCACTTAAGGTTTTTTCTTTCCTTTTTGGTACTGAGGATTTAACACAGGGTTACTTCACCACTGACTTCCATCTCTAGTTCTTTTTATTTTGGATTTGATTAAGGGTCCCACTAAGTTGCCAGGGGTCTGGCAAAGTTGCTGAGGCTGGCCTTGAACTTTGATCCTCCTGCCTGAGCCCCTTCAATCACTGGGATTACTGGTGTGCTCCACTGTGCTAGGCCACTTAAGAATTTTATTTGTTTTTGTTTTTGTCAAGATGGGACATTTTTATGTAAATGGGACTCCTATATCTTTTGGAATGAAACTAAAATGATACAATGGTTGTTAAAAATAAATAAATAAATAAGGTGCATCAGATAAATAAGCATGAAGAACATTGAATTAGAATAAAATCATTTATATAAAATATTAAATCAACTTTCATGAAACTATGCAACCTATATTATATGTGGTGTGTACTTTTTCTAATATTTATCACTTGTTTGAATTTCCTGGTAAATGCTGCACAATTAATGCTAATATTATAGGGAGAAAAACAAAGAAGATTATTRTAGAAGAATGTCATCAAATTTGTCATATTTTATGCTAAAACCAAGATTGTAATGTAGAAATTTAAAAGATATTAATTGGTAATGTTGTAGGATGTAAGCAATAATTTAGCTAGAGCATATAGAGCTCTTCTTCATGAATAAATGAAGTCTGAAATTACATGGTTGATACTAGCATTTCACTTCATGGACTATCTTTTTATGCTTCTTAACTACTGTCTATACCAGCCTGTGTTTTTTGTTTTTTTTTCTTTTGCTTGGTGTTATCATACCTTTGTTACAGGGTACTGTCAAGCAGCTGTCTATGTTTAAGGAAGGAGGAGAATAGGATAAAATATCTTCTTTCTAAGATCTTTTCATTCACTTGGGAGGAGAAAGACATTATTATTAGTCCTTTTGTTTTTCCTAAGCCAGAGTGAGTTACGTGCCTATCACAGATGAGTCAATAGCCAAAGGAAGGTATTATCTTGATACATTTAGATGTGTTATGATCCATCATCTGGATCCAGGGTAATGTCCCTGACCAAGCAACTTACATTGGAACTTACATTAGAAACTCAGTTTCTATTATGAGGAAAGCTCTTGAGCGGATGGAATTCAATGAGACATTAGGAGGCCAAAGAAAACCAAACTGTCTTGATTGTTATATTTCAGGGGTCATCCCCACTCACTCTTCTTTGTTCCCATTTTTTCTTTCTCACTTTGAATTTTGATGTTAGAGTTCCCCCAGGCTCCACTTTTGGTACATATCACTTTTCTTATTTTCATCTCCCCTAAAATGTTAAGGATTAGCAATGTATGTACATCTAGATAGGAACTTACTCCTGATCTCTAGATTTTTATGTTCTCCTGTATACTTAGCATTTTCATTGGAGACCTGTAGCAGATTTTATTTTCCAGATCATTACTGTAATATTTGGCATCCTGGATGCTTKTTCTTTTATGTTATAACATGGATACTTTTCCAAAAGTGAGGTTGAGGCCTTTTTCCAAACCCTTGAATCTGGGTGAGCCTATGACTATCGTAGATGTGATACAGGATAATCTCTGTATCACAAAAGGAGGTAAAACCTCTACCAGATCCTCCTGGGATGTTTTTAGAAGCTGCACTTCTCTGTGAGAAAATTGAGAAGCAGCATAAAGAAGCCACATATGTTTTCTAATCAGTAACCATAGTCTGCCGCAGCTCACAGCCAGTATCAGTTGCCAGGTGTTTCAAGAGAGAGAACCTTTAAATGTCTCCAGAACCCAGCTGCTATGTCACTTCATCCTGGAGGTCACCACAGTTGAGGTGAAGAAGTGATGAATCATGCCCGAAGAGCTCCCCAAATTGCAAACTCATTATCAACTAAATGATTGTTGTTTACCCCTTTAATTTGAGGATAGTTTAGAGCTGAAATAAGATCTAACAGAAGTCTTGACCTTTGCATTTGTAAAACTAAACTGAATCATTCTCTACAATTGTAACTTCTCCATTAGTTGAGGATCATTCTATTGTTTCATTTACTCAGGCCAAAATATATGGTGTCTCTCTTACTCTGTACCTAATATACCAAGAGACTCTATTATCTATTACTTCTAAATGCATCATTACTTACTTTGCATGAAGATCTTGTTGTGACCCTAACTCTGAGCCATAGTAATATCTTGCCAGGGTTTCTAAATTATGTATCCCCATATTCCATCCTTATATTCCTACCATCTCTTCTTCATGTTGGAGAATGATGATTCTCTTAGTAGCTTGTACCATTTATTTGCACAAAATTCACCAGTGTATCACCTTTTATCCCATTTTAAATCTCACATACAATCTAAAGTATGTCATTTTTCCCATTTATATGTTAAGAAATTGAATCAGAAATTTGTAAATGCATTACTCTGTCACCAAGTTGGTATATAGGTTTCCCAAAATTCCAAAAATTATATATATAATGTATATATGTACATATGCATATTGCATGTAACCTCTCCCTCTGTGTGTGTGTGTGTGTGTGTATAGTTAAGCATAGCATAATTTAATAAAAAGCATCAGTTATATAAAATAGTTTTAGGATGAAATAAAACTGATCATTTAGAGATTAAAACAATAAGTGAAAGAGAATAAATAGTAATGAGAAATATGAAAAAAATATATGTGGTAGTATATTATAAAAGCCTTGAACTGGGTTTGGATTTCCCACACATCCTCTTACCTGCCCCGGCATTGCATAGACTCACACCACTGCCTACTAAAAAGGAACAGATTCTTAATTTTATTTAATTCTGGTATTGAAACATATGATTCAATTGAATGTCTACATCATACCTATAAACTTAAAAAATATATTACAATGTGATGGTGTTATTAAAATTTCTTTAAATTATAACTGAAAATTCATAAATCATTGCAGCTGAAATAGATAATATTTTATCTATATTGGATTATGAATTATTATTCTAATGGCATGAACAAATGTGAATGTTATGTAATCATCTAGATAATCAGAAAAATGGATGTTTAATTTGTTTCCAATGAATAAAATTTCCCCATGATGTTTTTAAGTTCAATACTTTATTTGTATTGGTAGAATCTCTTTTGCCTGACCTATTAAATTTTCATGTAGTTCAATTTAACAAGCCTGTTCGTGATACTTGTCAATCTGTAGTTTTCTTTTTCACTTCTTATTCAAAGTATATACTCTTTTCAAGTTGATATTTGGGACCTTCCTTTTCTTAAGTAGCTCATCTCTTCACATCCATCTTTTTTTTTTTTTTTTTTTGAGAGAGAGAGAGAGAAAGAAAGAGATTGAGAGAGGGAATTTTTAATATTTATTTTTCAGTTTTCGGTGGACATAACATCTTTATTTTATTTTTATGTGGTGCTGAGGATCGAACCCAGTGCCCTGCGCATGCCAGGCAAGCGCGTTACCACTTGAGCCACATCCCCAGCCCCACATCCATCTAAAGCACATGATTAACCTACTTTCTTTTTAGTGGACTTAGATATCAGGGAAAGGAAGCTACAAATACTTCATTTTTGTAAGTTTATTCAATGAATATTTATTAAGTACTAGGCACTATGAACCAGGACATTTCAGTATCCATCTATGTCCAATCAGCTTTCAATT